TTTTGTGAACACATTTCTATTTAGATTTTGTATAGTTTTGTTTCATTTTTTAATTTTAGTAATTAAAGTTTAGCTAAATTAACAGGATACTTCCAGAGCGCAGACCAAAGAAAGACATTTTAATTTAAGCTTAGTGATGCAAACCTAGCAACACAAACTTGAGCAGGCTGAGATTGATTTGATGAGTTAAAGTATAAATATACGCCAAAATGAAGCATTCAAACCTTTTTACTTCATTCTACACAAGTTGTGCTCCGATTGAAGGTCCCTTCATTGAAGGTTTTTTATTTATTTTGACATTTTTATTTTATTTCAGTTTACGAAAAAACAAATGTATCAATCGTTTTATTGGTTTCGTTTTCGATTTCAAAAATAACCTTGGGTGGAAATAAACTATGAAGGACAGTGGCACTTCAGGACCATGAATGAAGAACCCTGCTCTTCAAAGGTTGTGGTTATGAATATGAATTTTTGTTGAGGTGTACAAATAACTAAATGTGAGCTGCAGTCATCAAATGTGTAGATTAGGATGATGAAGCGCCATTTTTATTTATTTATTTTCTGGTTAATCACTGCGCAATCCCTTATATAAGTTCAGTTTAAAAAATAACAGATTTCATAGTTGAAACCTGATGATCCATGTTACCCCAGCATAACATGATTTATCTTATTTGATTATATCGTACAAATAAAATAAAAAAAAAATTCTGAAGCAGTTTTTTATTAAATGTGTTTTGAACTTTTTTTTTAAATCCTAATATTTTCAGGTTTAAATTAGACTGAATAACATATTTACAGTGTTATGTACGTGTATGTATGTTAGGGTTAGGATGTGTTTTTATATATAATCACGTTTTTTCAAACAGCAAGTAAATTATATAGAGAAAGTCTGCAAAGAACATTTACATTATCAAAACATGACTGACTTCAATCTAGCAAGAGTTTAAGCACTCTCAAAAAAACTTGTTATAATCAATGGAGCTGTCTGCATTTGATTATATCGTACAAATAAAATTAAAAAAAAATTCTGAAGCAGTTTTTTATTAAATGTGTTTTGAACTTTTTTTTTAAATCGTAATATTTTCAGGTTTAAATTAGACTGAATAACATATTTACAGTGTTATGTACGTGTATGTATGTTAGGGTTAGGATGTGTTTTTATATATAATCACGTTTTTTCAAACAGCAAGTAAATTATATAGAGAAAGTCTGCAAAGAACATTTACATTATCAAAACATGACTGACTTCAATCTAGCAAGAGTTTAAGCACTCTCAAAAAAACTTGTTATAATCAATGGAGCTGTCTGCACTGTTAAAGTCCGCATTAAATCAAAATTGACTTTATTTACTTTATTAGTGCACATTGCTAGTCTTGATGTGAACAATTAATCTGTGCAAGTTAATCTGCTGAAAAAAAAATGTTTGTTGTGGTAATCTTTAATCAAAATCTGAACATTTACTTCTGCTCTGGAATGGCATTCCTTCTCTGATGACGTCAGTTTGACGGCTTGGGCAGAATATCCTTAAACACACCCCTCCAACCGTTAGGTTGCTATGAGTGAGAGACGCAAAAGGAGGAGGAGCGCAAAAATAAAACCCCGCCGTCTATTGAATATTCCGTTTCAGCTGGAAATGCGTCACTACACTGAAATAAAGTCGGCAGCAACTTCCGGTTCACGCGGACTTTAAATTAATCTCTTAGTCACATCGTACATCTGCACTTTGAGAGCAGAATTCAGTCAGCAAGCGCACACACTGAACAAAGGTCCGGCGTTTTAGCGATGATATATCTGAACGCTTTCTGATTGGTGTGACGAGAGGGGCGGGGCTGAAAGCCGTGGGAACAGAGCGAGGCCGGTGGAGTAAATGCTAATGCGCGACACCTGCGCCACTCACCGGTCTCGAGTCCCACGGAGGAGCTCCGGAAGGATAAAAGGAGGAGTGACGTTATCAGCTTAATTTGTGTAAGATGTTGGGTGTGTTGTAGTTTGCATCAGTTTAAGGTATGAAAACACAGTTATGAATGGATTTGTATGGATCTTTGTGATCTCTCTTTGTTTCACCCACTGCTGCTGCATCCGGAGGTCCTAAAGGCCCCGATATACTTCAAACCAAATTAAAGAATGAACTGATGTGACGTAATTTCGAACAAAATCAGGCCTAAACGAAGTTCGTTTTGTGTTCATTTTGGGAGTTAGAAATGGCTTGCCAAAGCGAACTCTTTGGAAACGTTCACTCTGGCTGCAAAACACCTTTGTACTACCACTGGTCCGTGGTGATTACGTAATAGGTAGGTGTGGGCTGAGGCTCCGCCTTCCTTCACGCAGAGCACTTCTCTGGCTCATTTCGTCTGTTGAGGCCTGTCGAGGTAAGATCTCCGCAGGAGAAAACGAACACACTGGAGATCCGCTTTATAGTAGAAAATGAAGTTGTGCTTCTGATGAAATGAGGCACTGACACTGTTTTTCATGTTTGATACTGTTAAACTGCTTGCTTTTAAGCAATATAGTTCCATATAAATACACGTGACGTGACTTTCCTGGAGTGCTAATTTGCAGATCTGGTGCAAACATACCAATGTTGCTATGATCAGATGCTTTTCTTATTCAGTGAATTCAAGTTTATTTGTATAGCGCTTTTCACGATACAAATTGTTGCAAAGCACATATGCTTTCTTTAAAAACATGCTTGCTGTTCTCTACTTTTTCTAGTGTTTATTTTGTTACTGAGAGGAAAGTGCACAGCACATATTTACATATTCATCTAAACGTTGCTCTCTTCAGTGTGGGTGGCATCGGGATGTTTGATAACAGTATACCACTGCTCACATCTTTCGAACTTCGTTTTACCCCTAAACGAAGAACGAAAAAGAACTTTCGCTGTGAGTATATGTGAGCCTGTGAGCCTTGAGGAGTTTTTTTGCGGTCGCAGGCCAAAACCTTAGGAATTTGTGTCTAGGTGGGTGAAGGGCAGAAACTGCATATGGACCAATGGGATCTCCTGTTCTTCCCGAGCTTGATATCAGATGTGGCCCTCTAAGAGGTGTCTGGCCATTGTCCTTGCATCTGATGGCAGTGGATAGTTTGTTTGTATTTGTCCACCGAGATCCAATCAAATTCTAGCAAACCTTTGTCCACTGTTGTCCGCCATAAACTGGGTCCTGGAATGTGCTGTTCACCACATATATACAAAGGAGTGTGTGTGTGTGTGTGTGTGTGTGTGAGAGAGAGAGAGAATGTTTTAATTCACTCATCATCGTGATTGTCATTCATGTGTGGACTTCTATGAACTCTGTATGCCTACTTAAACATCTCCATGGACAGTACCAGTGAATGAAAAGAAACATTTACAAGCATTATATACATGTTTAAGTTCCTCTCACTCCACAAGACTCTCAAATTTACCTGTATACAGAACAAGAATGAAAAATACAAGTATTAAATAAATTACATATTATCTATTAACATTTATTATGAACTCCAAGCCTAAACAAATGTAAGTGAAACTGAATTTGTGTGTGGGAAATGCTCCATTAAAATAAACTAAATGGTAAGCGTATTTGGCGGGATAAATGGTATGCGTATTTGGCGTGCTGTCCGGGGAGAGGGCTCCGAGCTCAGTATTTTGCCCGGACCCAGAGCACTCACAATTTTACCTTTAGTTTCTTGCATTCTTTCTTATCATGTCAACAGGTTAAGTATAAATATGAATATGAAATATAGCGCATAAATTTAGTAAAATGCTCCTACTTCTAGTTCTTTTTTCTAGCTGACGAATGAGTTCATGAACGCCAAATGGTTATTCTGAGATAAATGTATTATGTCGCATTGTTTACAAGCTTTAAGCGTTTTCCGCAGTTTGAAACACGGAATGAGCGATTACATGAGACATTTCAATAAGATGTACTGTATCTTATAATATACATTTTGATGTCCATTCATGTTTATATCATACTATAGTAGTAAAGAGAAAGATATGATGGGTTCACATGCCGCTTGAACTGCGGCGCTAAAGCGACTGCATTAAAGAGCGCCAAAACGGTATTTATTGTTTGAATTTCGTTATGAATTTGGCAGAATTTTAAAGCTGATACTTTGTTTATTCAAATGTAACAAAGCACAAAGCTTATTGCGATTATTGGATGGTAAGTGCGCTAAAAATAATATGAAGCTCACGCATTAACAGAACACAGCATTTAGACTAAAGATCTTGATAACAAGAAGCCATAGTATCGATTATAAACAAATTGTTAACGATGTTGCTAATGTCCACACAGCTGACAGCGTTACCTTTTGTAGTTTGTTCAAGTTGTGCACGAAATGGACACTGTTTTTCTGCACTTTTACTTCGCGCGTCTCCGCTCTCTCATGCTGCTCAACTGGAGCTGCTTTCAGCAGGTGTGCTGTCAACGCTGCTGCTCGGCAGAGATGAAGACTGTTTGAAAGTCTTTTTTTTTCACTAAAACTTTGATGCGCCTTGTCTCAGTTTATTACGTTAACATAAAAGATGTGATCGCAAAACAATCAGAAAAAAGTCATTACATGCACATTTTTAAATCATAACATGTACATTTCTATAGTCGCCAGTAGAAATTTCACTCGCAAATTACAATTTTTAGTCGCAAATGCGACCGTTTTAGTCGCAATCTGGAGCCCTGGGAGGGATGCTGAAAGACTTAGAGAGAATGAAGGTAAGGCGGCTTAGGCTATTTATAGAGGTTCTCTCTCGAGCTGATAGGATAGATGGTGTGATTGCTGATAATGAATTGGCCGGGTTAATTATTTATACGAGCTCCTCCCGAACTTTGTTAATAACACATCATGTCTGTTCTATTTGAGCATCATTACACAAATATCCATTTAGCATGTTGATATAACTCGGTTATTCTGTCTGTTAAATGTTAAGAAAACGAGCAGCTATAGCATTTAATCTTAAAATTTCTGAAGGTGCAGAAATGTCTCTTGCTTTCTCACGTTGTGTTTGTCATTTGTCATTACAGGAGGTGACAGAGAAAAGTGAACGCATCACTCAGCTGGAGCAGGAGAAAACAGCTCTGATAAAGCAGCTGTTTGAAGCTCGAGCTAGCAGTGCTCACAACAGCAGTGCTCTCGATTCTACCTTCATCTGATCACCATCACTCCAGAGATCTGCTAAAATCACAATCATGATATCCTCAGCACCACACTGAACCATGCCTTCATATGATTACTGTCACTCCAGAGATCAACACAACACCACACTACACGCAGAACCATCTGAGACAAAGATTACAGGATTTTCAGAGGAATTTGAACAAACAACAGTCCAATCTACGATATCAACACGATTCACGGAGGAGCTGCAGCTTCACTTCTTATTTCACCCTGATTTGACCTGAAGAGGCCTGATCTCGGTCAGCTGAGACAAAATACATGAGATGAGCTGAAGAATAAACTGGATTCCAGTGTATGAAGGTCAGATGGAATGGATAAACATATTTGAATAGAGACTGTGTTTAAAGTTCCTACACAATTCTCCTGTATAGTCGGTATGAATGGAACTTTTATCTGAACAGTCAATTATTGAGTTCAGTTAAGTAGCCTTTTCCTTTTGGTTTGGTTTGGTTTGATTTGGTTTATTTTTGCTGTGTTGCTTTAATTAGCTTGCTGTTTTCTCTGAAAAAGTAGTATTTTTAAATTCTTCTCAGTAAAAGCACCAGATCACAGCTGTTAAAGGTGAAAAGTTGAAAAGACTTCTTAAAGACTTGATGTAAAATTAGTGACATATCTTTTCTTCTGTATTGATGTAGATCTGAGTTAAATGGATTATTGAAAAAGAAAAATATGTAGGGCAAGCAGTCCATCGGTTGTTGATTGGATGGATCTGAATGTGAACTTGCAGTCGATTGTAAGAAAGGAGTGAACAAAATTATCGTCACTAAAGAGAAGACGGTCATTTCACCAACCATTATGATTACAAATTATGAGGTCAAAAAAAATTTGTAAATGCACCTGTGCAGCCATTTATTCTGTTCCAGTCCAGTGCGCTCCATCTAGCTTTGAATCTTTGAATAAGAATCCATGTGATTGTGCTTCTCTATAATAGAAGAATAATAATGTCATTGCCTCTGTGATATGCTCTCCAATACCACTGAAAATGGCTGACTCTTCCACTAGTTTGTACAAAAGGAGGTGTTTTTAATAATGGAAATCATTCTGGAGGGTTTGAATGCAGAAATGCGAAGCTTGTGTTCTTGTTGAAGCGCTTGCATTAATTCTTTAGTAAAGCGAGGGGTTTAAAGTCCGCATGAAATCAAAATGGACTTTATTTACTTTACTAGCGCACATTGCTAGTCTTGATGTGAACAATTAATCCGTGCAAGTTAATCCGCTGGAAAAAATAGTTTGTCTTGGTAATCTTTAATCAAAATCTGAACATTTACTTCCGCTCTGGAATGGCATTCCTTCTCTGATGACGTCATTTTGACAGCCTGGGCAGAATATCCTTACAGGGGTCATATGATGCTATTTTAAAGATCATTATTTTGTGTATTTGGTGTAACAGAATATGTTGACATGCTTTAATGTTCAAAAAACACATTATTTTTCAAATACTGTACATTATTGTAGGTCCTCTATGCCCCGCCTCTCTCAAACACGTCGTTTTCAACAAAGCCCCCTCCTTTGACAAGCGCAGTCTGCTCTGATTGGCCAGCTGACCCAGTGCATTGTGATTGGCCAATAACCATAACCATAATCGCGAGCTTCCTCTTTCAAAGTAAATATCAAGACAGTTAATAATGTCGTTAGTTTTACCACCAGTTCAAGCCCGAAAGGGCAACAGAGTCGCGTGACAGACACAGTGATGATGCAGTACACAAGCCGCGGTTAAGACAGCTGACGTGCTATGATTTCTGACAGGCAGTTCACTCTCCTGTGATGTGACCCTGTTCCCCTCTCACACACACACACACACACACACACGACGCGTTACTCTGCGCTGCGCAAAACTCCACATTTGAACAGTCAATAGCAAATACTTAAACTAATAACAAAACATACTTACAGTCGCTGATTCAGAAGCGCCAGATTGTCATAGCAAAGTCGGAATTTACCCTTTTTTTTTTTTTTAGAAATAGCCTTTGTGCACAGCCAGCCTTGTACTCTTCTAGGTTCAAAAAACTGTCGTCCATAAAATGCGTTGCACAAATTCAAACATCTGGGTTGTGCTGTTCTGTTGTAAATAAATCTTAACCAATGATTCCTAATTGCATCTACTTCCGGAAGGCCAAATAAAGTGCTTTTTCTTTCGCACTGAAACACAGCGTCTCCCTGACATGGCTGCATCAACACTACTGCTGTTCCTGAAACCACGCCTTCATTCTTTGCATGCACATTTGGGCGGCATTATGCTAATATATCCACATAGTGAGGTAGACATGTGGGGGCGTGTTAGAACGAGCCGTTTTAGGTAGGTGTGGTTGACTCTTAACTTTTATAAAGAATATCTCTTTGGCTTTGAGACTGTAGTCTTTGCAACTTTACAGATCTTCTTTATGCACCAAGAGCTTGTAACACTCCAAAGAGAAAGGAAAACTTGAAATCGCATCATATGACCCCTTTAAACACACCCCTCCAACCGTTAGATTGCTTTGAGTGAGAGACAGAGAGGAGGAGTGCAAAAATAAAACCCTCTAATAACCCTCAAAAATAATGCCCTCTATTCAATATTCTGTTTCAGTTGGAAATACATCACTACACTGAAATAAAGTCGGCAGCAACTTCCGGTCAGCTGTTTTTAGCGGCGGGACAAATGGGTCATAATGATTGACAGCAGCTCACTGACTCCCTCTATAGATGTTATGTTGAAAATCACCTGGAATATTCCTTTAAAACTGACCGTCTTTCATGCACATTGTTTCTCTCAGTTCTCTGGGTGCTGTATGGAACTGTGAAGAGTTTGTAGTTTGATTCATTGACTGCTCCTTTTCACTCCATATGAAGCTGTTTCATACAGTGAGCAATGGTTTCCTTCAACAAGTTTCTACTTTATTTTTCAGTTGACCAGATGAAACGCATATTTTGTGATTTTTATGAATGACTTCAATGCTTATAGCCATATATAATCAGATCTAAATATTATATACATTATGAAGAAAGAACTGGCTGATTGATTTTCAGCCCTGATGGCAGCCCTGAAGGTCAAACCGAGAATAGAAAGGATGTTTGTGGATGTGTTTTGAATGAATCAAATGATGTGTTTATTGCGATCATCTAAAGGTGCTTCACGTCACTGTCAGATGAGAGTGAATATGAAGAAATGTATGTGGCAGTCGTTGGCTAATGTTTAGAGAGTCGGACTTGTAACCCAAAGGTCACGGGTTCAAGTCTCAGCTTTCTTCCACCTTCAATACCACAACTGAGGTGCCCTTGAGCAAGGCACTGAACCCCCAACTGCTCCCTGGTCTGGGTGGTCGTGGGTTCGAGTCTCGGTACCGGCAGGAATTGTCGGTGGGGGGAGGGAATGACCAGCACTCTCTTCCACCTTCAATACCACAACTGAGGTGAGACTCTTGAGCAAGTCACTTTTACTTTCACTTTCTTTCCTAGTTTAGAGTGGTGTTGAAGCATTTACAGTATACCAGTGTGCTATATGAGATTTGCTAATAATATGCATCATTTTACCTGACATCTGTAAAGCCCTGATGATCTGCATTGTGGCATATGGTTTTTAGTTATTGTAGTAATAAATCCACGACACACACAGCTAATACGATGGATTGTGTTTACTGAAACACTCGTGCATGCACACAACAACTACAGGTCCCGTTTTGGGACATCTACTACAGTTATCACATAGAAAAAATAAGCTATTGAGTTTACAGGAGCTGAATGTGTGTCCATGTTCATGTAAGAAGCAAAACCAAGTTCAGTGGCCCCGTTTAAATAACATTATCAGACGATAACTATAGACGTACAGTAGCAGCTGAAGAGTGTTTTCATTGAGCTGATAAGGCAACATTCTCTGGAAAGAACGCAGTGTTTTCTCCTCAATCTGCAAGGAGCAATGCTAAGCGATGGTGCTTTGGAAAAAAGATAGTTAAGAGACTCTACAGGAGAACAATCAATGAAGCTGAAGAGCACTAATGTCATTAGAGGCTTTATATTTGCCGCAGCTGTTTTTACGTGATGTAATTAATTTCTTCATACTGTTGATTTAATTATCTCAACCATCCCCTTTTTCTGCATATGTAATCCACAACAATCTTGATGCTTTTCCATTATTAAAACAAGTCATTTATTCTTGATATTCTGTTCTTGTGACTTTTCTTCTGCTTCAATTATCATTTCACTTATGTAAATGCAGTTATTTCTTTATAAGAAAAATCATTTAACTGTAAGTCTAGCTAGGACAAAAGCTGTTTTAACGGCAAGGAAACATCAAGTATTGATTTTGGTAATACAAATAGCAATTTGTCAGTTCAGTAGTTTAGCAGTTAGTGTTTTTCTGTCTCTTCGTGTGATCTCAAATGTACTGAATGACGGTCAGATCTCTGTGTGGACCTTATCAGACTCCTTCATACAGAAATATCACTCAATTATTATAATTAAAGCCAAAATGAATGTTTGGTAAACTGTAACTTGACATTCATATCCTACTGCCGCACAGAAGCAAATAAATAAATAAAAAATAATGTCTAAAACAGTTTTTGGTGACAAATCTAACATGCCTAAGACTTAGACAGTATTGCATATATTCCTCATTTGATTGTGGGATTGATAATTGCCAAAAATAATGCGATTTCTCTTATCTCTTCTACAAAGTCAGAAGAGCTCATTGGCAGGTTCATCACTAAAGAACAAACTCAAAATATAAAACTGAAGCTCACAATAATATTTACATAAACCGTTTTTATAAAATGTTGTAAATATCAACAACAATCACTTTCTGAATCACCAGTTTCTTCGTAACTTTTTTCTTTTTTTTTATTAGTTAATGTGTTTTTGTTATTACAGTGTCTTTACTTTTATCTTTTATCTCGCTTATATTTAATCTGGCATTACTCTTGACTCCATTTTATCTGAATTACATGACAATCCGTAATCACATAAGTTGAGCAGAGATTGTCACATATCAAAATGTTGTGATATGATCTGCAATGACTAATGTGGTGATCATTTCCTTGATATGAGGCTTTGCAAACTAGATGAAGGAAGTACTTTAAAGGGGTGGTTGATTGCGATTTCACTTTTTTAACGTTAGTTAATGTGTAATGTTGCTGTTTGAGCATAAACAATATCTGCAAAGTTGCAGCGCTGAAAGTTCAATGCAAACGGAGATATCCTCTTTTAAAATTCTGGCAGTTTAATGCCTACAAAAATGACTGGTAAGGGACTACAAGAAGTTACTTCCCGGGTCCGTTACGTCACGAACCCAGATAAACCCCACCCCCGTGAACACGCAGCAAAGGGGGCGAGGCCATGCTGCACTGCTTTAGAGAAGAGGAAGAGAAAACTAGGGGTGCACATAAAAATCTGTTCATATATGAATCGCGATTCTGTCTTCTAACAATTCTAATGGATTCACAAGTTTCAAAACCAATGTTCTAAAGCAGCTGTTCTCAATCCTGTTCCTCGCGTCGCCCTGCTCTGCATCTCTCTCCAACAAACTGTTCCATTTATACACTTATTTTCACATAGCAATAAGAAGTGTTATGCATGGACGTGCGTACGGTTGCTGTGCTGTGTTAAAGCTTTAATCAGAATAAAACCGTATATTAAAAGCTAAAAACAAAGAAACATACCATTCTGAAACATCCTGTAAGAGCCGTGCTTGCACAGGTTCTGCGC